TTTTTTAATTAAAGTCAATTCAATAATTAGAAATTTCGTAAGGGTGGAAGGGAGGAATGGGGATGAAGTGGGGAGAAGGTAGACGCAAAAAAGTACTAATAATAATAATATTTTTTCATTTGTTTGATTAAATTTTTTTTTTCTTTTTCACGTGGAAAATTTTTTTCGTTTTTATTTTTCAACCCCTCGACCTCCATACCCTCGCGCTCACCCCTTTCCCCTTCCCCTCGCCGATTCTTTTCCTTTGATTATACAAAAGCTCTTTTGTTCTATAAAAAAAAAAAATTCATATTTTAACGACGCCATCTTTTAACTTTTCAAAACAAACTTAATTTTTTTTTTCTTTCTTTTTCTTCACGATCGATTATTATAATTATCGATTACGAAGCAGTGAAGGGAAGAGGGTGAAAAAAAAAAAACGTGTCAATAGATGAATATTATTAAGCATTTCTCCCTCCCCTTTACCCCCGTCAATTTCAATTTAATTGCATCTCGTATACATAACAATTAATTATTCATGGCACATAAAATTTTACATAAATGAATTTAAATTTTTTTTTTTTTCCGAAATAAAAAAACGAAAAAAAAAATTTTTTTTTTTTTTTTTTTTTTTTAAATCGAAAATTTTTAACCCTCTTTAACATCGGTTGCAGGGGAAATTCAATTTTTTTTAAATTAAAAAAAAAAAAAAAAATTTTTTGTTAAATATGTCCCGCTAAATTTATGAAATCTACCCTCCCTCCCCCCGGAAAAAAAAGGAAAAAAAAAATTGATGGGAGTTTTAACTTCCCGACCGACCATAAAAAAAAAAAAAATTAATAATAAAGGGATTCGTATAGTTTGAAAAAAATAATAATAATAATAATAATAAATTTTTCTATCCAATTACCCGGCAAATTTTTTTTTTATTAAATTCTCGGTAATCGGTTAAATCTAATGACGTCATTACCCCATAAGTAAAGAGTAATTACGTTAGAATACATATAGAGTAATGACGTGATTTAAAATTCTATTGCCACGACAAAACTTTGACAAAAAAAATACGAAAGTTTACGTTAATAAATATATTATGACGGTAAAAAAACGTAAAAAAGTTTGTAAATTATACCTTTTTTTCATTTTTTTTCATTTTTTCCTGTCGTTGTCCTAGAAATATTTTTTTTTAAAAATTGTTTAAACACGCAAAAACCAATTTTTTATTCCCCCCCGCCCTCCACCCCCTCTGTGTTTCCCCTTTAATTACAACTTTTTGTATTATTATTATTCGCTTCGGAAAAAAAAATATATGTATTAGTTTTTCATTGTTATTAATAAAGTTAATAATTTAAGATTAAAGAGAGAGAGAGAGAGAAGAAATGGATAAAATTAAATAAATAATTTTTTTACTTTTTTTTTTCTTTTGCTACAAATAAACAACAGCAAGAAAATTCTTTTTAACGGTTTTTTTTTTGCTTTAAATCAATGATTTCAAATATATATATATATAATTCAATAAAAAAAATGGTTGACGTGCGAAAACAAAAAAAGATTGAAAACTCCATTTATTTATTTTTTTTAATGAAAAATAAAAGATAATGCGTAAGTGTTAATTGACGTGGCAATAGAAAAGGTATAAAAAAAAAGGAGTATTATCGCGAAACAAACGAATAGAGAAAATAAAAAAAAAATGGAGAAAGGGAAGGAGGAGAAAACGTCATTGTCCATTATGGAATTCATTCTATTTAATTTTTTTTGTTTTTCTTTTTTTTTTTATCTTTATGTTTGTCATTCATTTTTAATAATAATAATAATAAAGATGATGATGATGATGATAAAAAGTTAAATCAAAAATTATGAAAAAAGAAAAATGTCATTCAACAAAATTTTTATTCATTTTAAAATGTCGTTTATATGTTAAAAAAAATTTTTTTTTCTCTTTTTTACTTAGTGGCAGATGCTTCGTTTTAATTTATTCAAATAATAATAATAATAATAAAGTTTGAAAAATGGGAGAGAGAAAGAAAGAGAGAGGGAGAGAAAAAATATGAAAAATTTTTTATAACAAAACTTGACCTTTGCCCTAGAGTGTAAACAAATATTAACGTTACGATGTTAAATATCGAATATCGATAAAAAAAAAACCTTTCTTTTTTTGGGGAGCGGGTGGGGGGAGAAGGAGGAAATTCAAATTTTTCAAAAAGGTATTGAAAAGAAAAAAAAAAAAATTTCTTTTTAAAAAAAATATACAAAAGAAATAATAAAAGTGAAAAAAAAAAAAAATTTTCAATACGAAAATGGGCGGGGGGCGGGGGCGAACACACAAACAAAAGGAAAACAAAACAATTTTCACTCATCCCCTTCCTCACTCCTGCCTCTTCCTTCTCCTCCCCTTTTTTCCCACTTTCAATATAAATGCGAATAAATTATTATTATTATTATTATTATTATTATTATTATTATTATTATTATTATTATTATTATCGTTGTCAATAATATATAACCATAAATTAATGATTAATTTAAATACAATGACGTCATTCGGTCTCATATTTTTTTTAACCGAAAATATTATTATTATTATTACTTATATTATGAATGACAGTTGGGTAAAATAATTCGTTTGAAATCTATAAAAAAAAATTTTTTATTAAAATTTAATGAAATAAAAAAAAAAAAGAATTTTTTTTTTATTGATTGATTGATTGATTGACTGATTGATTTTTTTTTTTGCTTATATTTTTTGCCCTGGAATGGAATGTTTCTTTTTTTCTCTGTCTAAAGCGCTTTTCCATACCTAAAATTATATTTATTTCGGATTGTTCTATTATTATTATTATTTATTTTTTTTTTTTTTTTTTTAATCGGGACGATTGGTCTATGTGTTTGTCGGTGAGTTTTCAGGTCCTGTACCTCAGGTCTGTACCTTTTACAAACCTCTCAGGAATAAATGACGGAATGTTGGCGTAACTGAGTGCTTGAATAGATTTCCTCTAAACTTTTCCAGTATTTTCTCCAGATTTCTCCAGACTTCTCAAGCATTTTCTCCAGAATTTCTCCAGTATTTTCTCCAGACTTCTCCAGTATTTTTTTTTATTTGATTTACTCTCGTCGATTCTTTAGAAATCAATTCTCGGAATATCGGTGGTGCCATTGAAGAATTTGTAACGTTCCCACACAACACATATTTTATAATTCATAATTTCTTTTTTTTAAAATTATCTTTGAGGAGTAATTGTTGGGAGATGACAACAACCGAAAAACTTCCACAACGGAAAAAATAATTTCCTTTTTAACAGCAACAACATCCTGAAAATTTCAATTTTCAAATTTTTGTTTTTCAACCTTTCCCCCCCCCTCCCCGCTCCCGCCCCCTCTTTAGTTCGGATATACTCCAATTAGTTGACACCATTTTTCATTATGTATTATACTAATAATATCCGGTTTTTCGGGTAAACACAGCTATCTGTGCGTCTATTTGTTTCCATTACCTGAATGACAGGAACCGCATAGATATATGTTGATGTTTCGCCATCAACCGGAAATTAAGCGACCGTTATTTTGAGTTTCCGGTTGTAATTGACGAATTCGGCACTTTTTCCTCTCGCAAATATAAGATTTTATAGGCTCGTGCATCCCTAATTATTATTATTATTATTAATTAATATAAAAATATCAAATGATGTTAAAAAAAATAAAATTTTCAAGTCACAAACGAATAATAAATAATAATAATAATAATAAATTATTTTCCTATTTTTTTTTTCAAAAATAAATAATTAAAAATAAAAATCACGTGATATAAATAATAAATAAAATTTCAATTTTAAAATGAAAATAAAAAAAAAAAAAAATTTAATTAATTTCCTTTTATTATTATTATTATTATTATAAAAAAAAAGACTCGACGATTCGACCAATGAGAAAATTTTTTTTATTTTTCATCACAGGATTTTATATTTAAAAATAAAAAAGAAAAATTTTCCATTTATTTTTATCCATTTTCAAACCTCAAACTGGAAACAAACAAAAATTCTCCAGAAAAAATTAATTCAAGCACGTAAAAAAAAATATATATATAAATAAAATTTCACTGGAAAATAATCCCGAATCACATTCATTCATTCATTCATTCATTCAATCATTCATTCATTTATTTATTTATTATTCGAGTGTAAAAAAATAAATTTTTTCTTTTTTTTAAAATTATTATTATTATTATTTTTGATTTACCCAAAAAAAAATTTTTTTTTTTTTTGATTTGTCGGTCATGTAAATAATTTATCATTTTACGTCGGGAAGGGGGGATTTTCTTTTTTTTTTTTATGTACCTGATTTTCTTTTTCTTGATAAATCAATTTCGATATTAAAAAAAATCAAATAATAAATCAGCGAATGATTGATTGATTGATAAGAAAATGATGATGATAAAGTTTTTTTTTTAAGGTTTTCTCCACTTTTTTCTTATTTTCTTTTTTGTTTTTACCCTGATAAAAATCCAGGGATTATTTATTTTTTTTTTTTGATAATAAAATATATACTCTGGAAAATAATAATGATAAATAATCGAAAAGGGAAAAAAAATATCAAAGGAAATCAAAGGAAAGCGTTAAAAAAATTATTTCGAGTAAAAAATATCAAAGTTATCAAAAAAAATAAAAAAAAAAAATTTTTTTCAAAGAAAATAAAAAATAGGCGATGACGTCGACGGTGACGAAATTGAAAAAAAAATAAAATCGTAATCATTATTATTATTAATAATTTTTTTTTTCCTTTGACACCTTTTAGTTATTATTTTTATTAATCATACATTTTTTCCATTGTGTCGTTAATTTTTTCCTTTTTTTTTTACCGTAATAAAAACAGCAACAAGTTTAAATTCGTTGAACCGAAAATAAGAAATAAAAACATTTTTCCTTTTTCGTTTTTTTCTTTTTTGTTTTCCTTTTTATGTTTTCCTTTTTTTTAAAATAAAACCACGTATATAAAAATATGAATCGTCAAATTTAAAAAAAAAAAAAAAAATGAAAAACATTTGTCACTTTTCCCCTCCCCCCCCCCGAATTCCAAGGAGTAAAAAATTGACTCAATTTTCAAGTTTTTTCTCCCTCCCCACCAAAAAAAAATTATTAACAAGTATTTTTCAAGTTTTTCCTTTTTCTTTCCCTCCCCTCTCCTCTTCCCAACCCTCCCCGTCGTAAATTTCAGACAAATTTTTCCGGATCGTAAAATTTTCTTTTTTTCTCATATTACTTTTCAAGTTTTTCTTTCTATCTTTTCCTTTTTCCCCAATTTTTTTTTTTTTTACCGAGTCACCATTTTTGTTTCGGTTTTTTTTTTTTTTATTAACGAGATTAGTATTAATCATTCGTTAATCTTGTTTAATCTCCCTTAATAATATTTTAATAATCATTTTGTTTTAAGATCGAGAATTTTGGTACGAAGAAGCGCGATCGGCGTTAAGACGTAGACTCCAGCAAAATCCTCCAAGTGTCGGATCTAAAACTCATGCAAGAAACGTCATCTTGTTCGTTGGTGATGGTATGAGTTTGACAACGATAACAGCATCAAGAATATTAAAAGGACAAAGAGGAGGAAGATCGGGTGAAGAACAAGATTTAGCCTGGGATAAATTTCCAGCTGTTGCTTTAGTTAAAGTAGGTACCCATTACGTCAATTTATTTATTTAAAAAAAAACTTTTATTTATTTATTTATTTATTCTTAGACGTATAACGCAGATGCTCAGGTAGGAGAATCATCAGCTTGTTCTACGGCATTAATGTGCGGAGTTAAAGCAAATTTTGAAACTTTAGGATTGGACACGAGGGGAAAATTTGAAAATTGTTTATCAAGTTTTTCATCCAAAGTGCCTTCTTTAATGGACTGGGCACAGGAAGAAGGTTAGTCTTAACTATTATTATTATTATTATTTATTACTTTTCATCATAGAAAACGCGTGTTATTTATTTATTTATTTATCCATTCGCTCCTTCTCTTAATCTATCATGATGATGATGATAATATTATTATTACGAACACTTTTCCTTTCCTTTTTTTTTAATCCTTTCCGACGTTTTAAAATTTTCCTTTGCTTTAAAAACCTTTTTTTTTTTACACGGGGAGAAAATTACTTTTAAAAGGAAATGAAAAAGGAAAATTATAAAAAAAAACGTAATTTTTATAAACAAATTCTTTTTCTTCTGCTTCTTTAATTTTTTGTTTTTGTTTACGTGTTTGTAATTGTTTAAAATTTATCATTATTATTATTGTTTAAAAATCAAAAGATCCGCCATTTTCTCAACGTATTTAAAAATGGAAAATTTTTTTAAAAATTAATATAATAAGCATTTTAAATTTGACGTCACTCGTGTTATTAATAAATTTAACTAATTATAATAATTAGAGGATACGTTAGATAACGTTTTGGGTGGGGGGGTGATAACGATGCCACGTGATTTTTTTTATTATCATTGTATGCATATATATTATTTTATATTCTTAAATTCACGCGAGATAAAATCTATTCATCGATCCATGTTTTTTTTTGAAATTTATTCATTCCATTGATTGTTCAAATAAGAAAAAAAAAAACTTCGGTATTATTATTATTATCATCATTATTATTATTGTATTTTTCTTTAAGTTTTTATATGGGTATAAGAGAGAGAGAGAGAGAGAGAGAGAAAAGAAAACATTTGAAAACAATTTTTTTTTTTTTTATTTAAAAAAAAGTAAATTTGTAATTTTCTTCGCGGAAAAATAATCTTTTCGATTTTTTTTTATTGTCATCATCAAACTCTTCGTCGTTTGACACTCAAATCGAAAATGAAAGATTGAAATAAAAAAAAAAAGTGGCGATGATGATGATGATGAGGATTTGAAAAAAGTATAAAAGAAAATGATTGAATTCAAACGAAAACGAAATTGAGTTTTTTAAAAAAAGAAAATTTTTTTTTTTTAATAAATGGGTTTAAAGAGGGAACAAAAAAAAAAATTGAATGAAAGGTTTAGAAAAAGATGAAAAAAGAGTCACAAAACCAAAGGTTGTCACTTGACCATCCATTTAATCTTTTAAAATAATATAAAAAAAAAATTGAACCCAATGTTATTATTGTAAAAAATCAATCACCATTTAAAAAAAAAAAAAATTTTTTTTCTCTTTAAAAAGTTAAAGTTATCACGTGTGTGTGCGTTTAACTTTAAATCCCTCCCCTTCCCCTCCTCCTCTTCCTTCCCCTTTTTTTTTTTTTTTTAATTTTTTCACAGGTTTTAAACAAAAAAAAAAAAATCTAATTAAAATAAATTTTTTTTTTTCTACTTAGGATGGCAAATTTAAAATAAATTTAATTTTTTTTTTTTTACTTTCTCCCTCCCTTCCTTCCTTCCTACCTACTTCCCCTCTCTCTTCCCTCCTCCCACGCGCACTTCATTTTGTTTTTTTTATTGTTTTTAATAAAAATAATTTCAGGGATCAAAACGTGTATTAAATAAATATAAACCGGTAGTAGTTGGATAAACAGGTTAACAAACGGAGATTAAAAAAAAAAAAATTACAGTCTCCTCCTCCCTTACCCCCCTTCCTTACCTCTTCCCTTCCCTTCCACCTGAAACAAATTCGTATATAGGGATAATTGAATGATCCTTTTAAAAAAAAAAAAAAAAAAAAAGGTGATAGGTTGATAAATGAACGAATGAGGGAACAAATGAAAGAATGAATGAATGAATAGATGACGTTTACATTGTTTAGTCTTAAGCTTAAATAAGCATTTCTTACAAAAATTGTCTCTCTCTCTCATTTTTTTTTCTTTTATTTTCTAGAAAAACTGACAACAACAACAACATTTTTAATAAATGTAATCTTTTTATTTATTTTACTTTTTTTTTCTTAAACTTTTTATTATTTATTCTTTTATTAAAATTAAAAAAACAAATAAAAAAAGGAGAAAAAAAAAGGTTTTCCCTGTATTGGAAAATTCACTATTGATTTACTGAGTATTTTTATTTATTTATTTCTTATCATTATTATTATTTATGTACCTGGAAAAAAATATATATGTACTTTTAAAAGTATAAAATTTATTTTTATTTACTTACTTACGTGAAAGGGGAGAAGGGGAGGGGAAGGTAAAAAAAATATATATATATAAACTTTAAGAATCGTAAAATATAAATAAGATTTTACTTTTAAAATTAAAAATAAATTATTCGAAAAAATAAAAATGAAAAGAATGAGAGAGAGAGAGAGAGAGAGAGAGAGAGAGAGAGAGAAAGATAAAAAGGGAATTAGAATGAAATAGAAATAAAATAAAAAGTGTAAGAATTAAATGTAGTAAATAAGGAGAATAAAAAATAAAAAGGAAAAACTCACGGAATTTGTATTTAAAAAAAAAAAAAATTATTTAAAATTAAAAAAAAAAAAACCGTGTTAATTTTTTTTTCCTTTGGAAAATTTTACGTATAAGAAAAGGAAAAAAGGAAAAAAAGGAAAAGATTTAAAGGATTTTCATTTGAGAGATGAAGAAATGGGTTTGAAGATGATGTAGGAGGGAGCGATTGTCATCGCACGTGTAAAAAAAAAAAAAGTTTTTTTTCTAAATAATTTTTTTATTTTTTTTTAAAAAAAAGGAAAACCGGAAACGATGAGGGTTTTATAAATTTCAAAGGTTTTTCTTTTTTCTTCCCCACCTTCTCTTTTCCTTTGATTTTAGGTTTAAAAAAATTTAAATTCTTTTTTTGTTTTTAACCAAAAAAACTTAATTTTATGGAAAAAATTAATTTAATTTTTTTTTTTTTGAATTAAAATTTGTTTTTGTTTTTTTTTTTTCTTTCCAGAATTTCTTTTTTTTTATCGGCTTTCCTTCTCCTCCTTTTTTATATAAAGATTTTCTTTTTCTTCTACTTATTTTTTTTCTTCTTCTTTACGAGGGTTTTTTCCCAATCAAGTATTACTTATTCAAAAAAAAAAAAAAAGAAAAAAGAAAAATGGTTTCTTACGACGACATAAAAAAAAAGAAAAGAAAAAATTTGTTTAAAATTAAAATCAATCGAAAAAGAAAAAGATTTTACTCAAACTCTCTTTCTCCTCCCTCTCTCCCTCTTCCCTTTCGCCTCATTCACCTCTTTTTTTTCTCTCAATCTTTTCATACTATTAATAATAATAATATTTCCAATTAAATTTATTATTATTCGTTTTTCTTTTTTTTTTTTTTTTTTTTTTGTATAAAAATGAATTAATTTATAATTAAAGGTAAAATGACTGGTATCGTAACAAACACGAGAATAACTCATGCAACACCGGCGGCATTATACGCTCACACACCAAGTAGATATTGGGAAGATGATGGAAAAGTACCCCCAGCATCAAGGAAATCATGTAAGGATATAGCGAGACAATTGATAGAAGATGATCCTGGGAAAAACATAAACGTGAGTTTTTTTTCTTTTTTTTTGAACGTAAAAAAAATATTTTATCAGGAAAAAAAAAATTGCAACGGTGATAAAAGTTTGTTGTTTGTTTGTTTGTTTAAATGTAGTAGGAAGAGTAAACAAACAAAAGTCGTGATTTTTTTTTTTTTATTACGTCATAATATTAATGAATTTTAAATTGTTTTTATGCGTGTTAAAATTTTTTTTTTTTTCCTGATAAGGCATGTTTAAGTGCGTATGTGTGTGTGTTTGTGTTTGTTTGTTTTTTTTTTTTTTTAACGTTCAGGTAAACGGAAAACACAAAATTTTCGATAATGATAATGATAATAAAAAAAACAAAAACGTTGTATTATTTCTTTTTTTTTTTTTTTTAGTTGAAAAAAAAAAAAAAGATTTATAAGATTTTTATAAAATTTAGCGACAGACAGTCAGGCAGGCAGGGAAAAAAGACTGAATAGAAAGCAAATGTTCTTTCTTCCCTCTCCCCTCCCCTCCCAAATCGAAAGCAAAAAAAAATTTTTTTTAAGGGAAAAAAGGGGTCATCAACTATTCTTTACAAAATTTTTTTTTTTTTTTTTTTTTTTGAGTTTGGCTGCCAAACTGTTGACTAATACAATTTTTTTTTTTTTTTTTTTTTTTTTTTTGGAAGTGAAAAAGTATTTGAACATCCGGGCATTAAAATTTATTTACATTAAATTTGTTAAAAATACAAAAAAAAAAAAAAAAAACCCCATTGGGAATTTTATAAAAAAAAAAAAAAAAAAAAAAAACCCAAAAAAAAAAATAAAACAATTTTTTTTTTAAAAAAAAGGGTTTTTTTTAAAAAAAAAAAAAAGGGGTTTTTTTTTTTTTTTTTAAAGCCCCCTTTTTTTTACGGGGGAAGGGGGGGGGGGGGGGGAATATTTTTTTTCTTTCAAAAAAAAATTTTATTATTATTATTAT